CATTCCTTGGCCAAACATGTCACCTTTCAGTTCCAAGGAGACTCCGGTTACCTCTGGCCCCAGGAGGATAGTCGAGACTGATGTCGTGTCCGTAATTTGGAAAATGGTTGAATTCAGCCTGAACTTTTCCGTTGCTTTCCTTATTAGTGGGTCACCCGCTCACCGCTGGGCCAGAAGGTCAGACGTTAAAGATCCCATGGATTCTTGGCGGCCTGACCAACAATTCTCCATCTAAAATGTTATTGACTTCATAGCTGTTGGTCGGATGTCGCTGTGTGCAAATTGGCTGCCACGTTCGTCTACAAATACACAGTCAGTACACTTCAGTGTATGATGTTAAGCACTTTGAGCCATGTTGATGATGTGATAAGGCACTGTATGAAATACAAGAATCGTTTATTTATATCTGATTGTGGGCTCAAGATCCACGTTGGGGCTTTGAGTTTAGAGTCTGAGCGCTCTGAGACGCTACCTTGAGTGGAGGACGCTGTGTAAGTGCAAGTAGTTGTTGTTGTAAGATGACACTTCATTGCAGGGCTGGGGGTGTGCTGCAGTGTTGGCGGTTTCAGACTTCAGTTGCGATGTGAGACTGAGGTCCTATCTGCCTGTTAAGGTGGGCTTTAAGGTGAACAGAAGAAGGTCATTTGACCCATCGTATCTTTGGGACGTCCTCCAGACGTGAAAAGCGCTATATCAAATGCAAGGATTATTATTATTATTATTATGCCGGCTTCCTCAAGAGCAAACTTTTCAGTGCCATTTTCAGAGAAGGGAATTTCTCCCGTTGTTCCTGTCCAACACTTCTCCCAGATAAAAATATGATCATTTAATTCATGGCAATTTGTGGGACTTTACTGTACGCAAAATGACTATCTCGGTCACCTACAAATACATAGTAGTCTAAAGAAAACCTGTGGAACGCTTTGAGACATTTTGACAGAGTGTCAAGGTGGAATAAATAGCAAATGGAAAGATTTATTTTTGTGTATTAAATCGAGTTGTCTTTCATTCTCACTCGTTCTTGCGACATTGTCTCGAGGTGAAGAGAAAAATTGCTAAATTTGGAAACACAGTTTCTTACAAATCACGTTTCTATTTCAGACGAAACGAGAAAGTATTGCTGGCGTTACTGTACTGAAGTGGAACCCGAGAGAGAGCGAGGTAAGGGGTGGGCAACCTCAATATTGCTATCGACATTTGGAGAGGAACAACAGAAATGGGCGCAGGGAAATGGGATTCCAGAGCTCCAGTACAGACACAACAAAAACAACAACAATTTGCATTTATATAGCGCCCTCCATGCTGGGCGGTGTCCCAGAGCGCTTACCAATGGCGGAGCCCGATGCCGAGTCAGGGGCAGGGGGAAGGTAACATGATGGGGCGAGTGCAGGGGAATGGGGTTAGAGTGGAGAGCTCCAGTGGGGGAATGAGCACCAGCACAGACACGATGGGGGAAAGAGATGGCGAGAAAGTCTTTTTACGATAGCGTCGTGGGATCGTTTTCATCCACTTGCGCAGGAAAAACTGCCTTGATTTAACATCTCGTCGGCAGGACAGCACCTCCGACAATCCCTCGCCGCCCCAGCACTGCTCTGGAGTATAGCGCTCCCCCCTACCCTTTCCCCAGACCGCCAACATAGAGAACGAACCTTTTGACTCAGAGGAGAGCGCACGAGTTTCTGAATCAAGGCGCCACCTCATAACTAAAGGATGAAAATTGCGAGGTGTGATGTGATCATTGGCGCAGTGTTGAGTGTTGGCTTGGAGGCCAACCTTTATCATTGCATGATCACAGGGTGTTCCTACCCGCACTTTGACACGAAGGTTGAGATGACGCATTGAAACAATCCTGGGAACCAGTGCTCAACCATTGCGGTCAGCTAGATGTCTGTTGTCTTGGAAACCAATCCAGACTCATAGTGCCACATACGTATGTCCTTTTTGCCTCCTTTTCTGTCTCTCTCGCTCCCCACTAACCCCCACCCCCCCCCCAACCCTCCCCCCCTCACCACCCGCCCCACTCTGTCAGTGACGGGGCAGGCTCACTTGTCCATCAATGAGGTCCATGTGGACCTCTGTAGTGTAGTGGTTAGAGCACTCACCTCACAAGCGAGAAGACCCAGGTTTAATTCCTGGGCAGGGTGAAACCTTAGGCAAGTTTCCTTACTCCACACGCCTCTGTTAACCCAGCAGTAAGCATGAACCCAGTTGGAAGTTGATTGGCAGTCTTTTTTCCAGGGGTAATATTCTCTCCCAAAAAATAAATAGCTTGATCACTCAATCCAATTACTTGTTGGACACTGTTGGCTGCCGCGTTTCGCCCACACAATATACACTTCACAGTATACCTGCGAAGCGCTTTGTGACGTCGCAACGACATGATAAGGCGTTTACCAAATGCAAGGATTATTATTATTATTATATGTAAACTTTCGCTGTGTCCTGGATGGAATGATCACTCTCTCCCATGGAAGGAGGCCACCTACAAACCTAATCCTGGACAGTATTAAGGCACACAAAAAACACAAAATACCTCAGATGCAGGAAATCTGAAACAAAAACAAAAGTCGCTGTCTATTTTGTGGGCGAAATGGGTATTAAGGCACGGTTTAACAAGAGTCGAGGCTTAGGGGGCACCCAATATGTGCATTGGGATATTGTGGATTTTAACCAGCTAAAAATCATGCAGCTTGCCATTGCGAACACTGCCTGGCAAGCTTCCAATTGTTTGTCCAGCTCGGACCACCCAGCAATAAAAAATTTGACAGTGGTTAAATTGTACTCGTTAGGGCTTTGGCTCGCAGGGTTAACGGGAGCTGAGTGGGACGAGTCTGTTTGGGTAACTGCTGGAATCTAACCAGCTAAAACTGCATAGCTTGCCATTGATATCACTGTCTGGCAAGCTTTCCCACTGTTTGTCCAGCGAGGACCACGCTACCCGTTGCCCTGGAATACTGAGGACCCACCTGGCTCAGGGACCGGACTACAGACCACCACTGGCCATGAGCCTTGGAGCCAGCTGAGAGGCGTGAAAGGCTTTATATAAATATAAAATTGTTTTTTTCACTGAACCTAACGGAGACGATTAGATTTTTCCACAATTCTGCGCAGTCTTACATTTTTAAGACGAGAAACTGCCCCAGAGGCTGAGAGAGGTGGGAACTTCATGGCCGTTGGGAGCTGCCAAATGTGTAATGGAAAAGTGAGAGAGAGAGAGAGAGAACCAGAGAGGCAAAGAGAGCGAGGAAGCAGCTGAAAGATTTTCAAACCTACATTTTTCTTGGAAAGACTTCATTAACTCTGCCAGAGCTCAGAGGAGTGCAGATGAAGGAATGACTCAATTTAATCGGGATAGCCTGTACAAATACACAGTTGCTGCACTTTGCAGTGAATCCTGTGAAGCGTTTTGAGACATCATCGAGGTGATCTATCTAATGCAAGGGTCATTCATTTTGGAGGTACCGGCAATTACGTAGATTTGCACTGTTGTTAATAACTAAATAATGCTGGTGTTTAACGCAGCTCCTTTTACATGGAGAGGACGTCTCGAAGCATTCAACAGGGTACACTGTGAAGTGGAGTATTACGTGGGAGAACTTGGCAGCCAATTTATGCACGGCAAGATCCCACAAGCAGCCATAAAGTGAAGGACCAATTTTTATTTGGGGGATTGTTGGCCACCAGGAGAGAGAAACTCCCTGCTTTGTAAGCGGGAGACCTGAGTTCAATTCCAGGCAGAGGGCGAAACCTCGGGCAAGTTTCCTTACTCCACACAGAGCCTAATAATAATCCCTCCAAAACCGAAAACAATAATAAATTGGTCATTTTCAATCTACGACTGTTTGTGGGACATTGCTGTGCGCAATTGGCTGCCGCGTTCGCCCACAAATATACAGTCAGTTCACTTTCCAGTGTGTTCTGTGAAGCGCTTTGGGACGTCCTCCTGACGTGAAAAGCGCTATATCAAATGCAAGGATTATTATTATTATTCAACCTTCGAGGCGAGAGTGCTCCCGCTGAGCCAGGCTGACCCAAGACACACAGGCAGTACTTGATGGATCAATTCCCAGTGAGATGTTTTGATGTAATAAGGCGTCGTATCAAATGTGAGAGTTATTGCTATTTATTACCAGTGCTTCTGGTTAACGATTCCTTTAATGTATTTTTTGCTTATTTTTGTTTGCAGAACACCGCCAGCCCAGTCACTGGGAAGAAGTGAGCAAGAAGGCAAAGGTGGGGGGCAAAAGAAATTCCGAATTCACGTTAACCCCCTACCCCACCGGAATAGACTGCTCTGCCGTAATGCCAAAAGGGGGAAGGGAAACAGGATACACTCCAGGATTGCTCCCTGCCCTTTGAGAGCAGCGTTTGGCGATGGAGAGGAGCGACCATTTCAAAGCGGAAGTCATTTTGGACGGGCCGAGGAGAGTAGCTTAAGAAGCAACCGAACAAGGAGAGATTGACTGGGTGGAGGGGCTTGGTCAGCGGAGAGAAAGGGGCAATGACGGAAGCGGTGTGAGACACAGCCCTCCTTTTACCCTCCCTCCTCCTCTTCCCACACCTCCTCCCTTTCCTCATCTGCACCTTCCCTCCTTCCCTCCCCCCGACACACACACTCCTTCCCCATCCTCTCTCCAAGAAAAGAACCTCTTACAAGACCGTCTGGACGAAAGGGCATCGAAGGCATCGGGCATTGACTCCGAGGCAGCCATTTTGTGACCAATGGCGGAACCGGGACTTGACGAAGGACTTGATTGATTGAGGCCCATCTCCCGTCGCCAAGGCAACTCGGGGAGGGGGCGCGGAGAGAGGGAGGGACTTTTCGTCCCCTCTTGAAAAGAGATGGAGTCCAAGTACGCTACACTTGGCATGGCAAGCGCCGTGCCACCCATAGAGGGCGCCATGACGACAGGACACGGAGATCCGGACACCCAGGAGACGGGGGGTTTGGGGATCTGTCGGGGGCCAGGCTGTCGGGGGCGAGGGTCCCGCTCAGGCTTATTACCCCGGGAAGAAGGAATTCTGCCCCGAATCGCCCCAGCGCCACCGCAAGCCTCACCGCCACCCACTGGCTGCCTCGTACCGCTACACTCACTCCCTACCCCAGTTCTCCCGCCAGGCCACAGCCCATCGCTTCGTGCAGAGCTCCAAGTCGGAGCAGGGGCCGGACGGGGGAGCCTGGCACTTCCCGGGACAGATGGAACCCTCAGCCATGACGGAAACCTTCCTCTCCCTCCAGGCCCGCGCTCAGGCCGGGCTAGGCCTGGGCCTGGGCCTGAGCAAGTCTCCCGCCAGCCTGCAGACCGCATTCGGCCACTGCCTCCAGGGGCAGAGCGAGGAGGGGCTGCGCAAGGAGAAGAGGCCGAAGAAGCCGGGGAAACACATCTGCCAGTACTGCGGGCGGGCCTGCTCCAAGCCCAGCGTGCTGAAGAAACACATCCGCTCGCACACAGGAGAGAGGCCCTACCCCTGCCTGCCCTGCGGCTTCTCCTTCAAGACCAAGAGCAACCTGTACAAGCACAGGAAATCCCATGCCCACGCCATCAAGGCCGGGCTGGTCTCGGCGTCGGAGGCCGAGGCTCGGCTGGCGGACGAGTACCACTCGGACGCCGACGAGAGCACCGAGACCGATGAGGAGGGCCCGGGAGAGCGGGGGCTGGGGCTGGGGGCCGAGACGGACGAGCGCAGGAGGCTTCCCGAAGCCCTTGCAGATGACACGACCCCGGCCCATGTGAAGGTGCCCATCCTGATCGTGCCGCGGGCCGGAGCCAAGGCTCGGGGGGAGAGCCCACCGCCCACGGAGGTGGACCCTGCCAGGGTCGTGACGGCTGCAGTCGGGCACTGGCGCGACGAGCCCCCTCACACCGTCAAGCAGAGGCTGGCCCTGAGGATCTCAGAGAAGCGGGGGCCGGACAGTGAGCAGTCCCTCAACCTCCTGAGCCCCCACAGCAAGGGCAGCACGGACTCAGGCTACTTCTCTCGCTCCGAGAGCGCCGAGCAGCAGGTCAGCCCACCCAACACCAACGCCAAGTCCTACGCCGAGATCATCTTCGGGAAGTTTGCCCGGATGTCGCCCAGGACCACGGGGACCGGCCCCAACACTCAGGAGCCCCACCTGATGGGCTTCAAGGACAAAGGAATCTTGGGGTCCATGTCAGACACCAAACCCGACATTGAGAAACTCATCGAGAAGCATATCATCCAATTGATAACCCACAACGAGGTGATGGTGGACCCCAGTCAGCTCAACACCGTCAAGCCCAGGAAGTCCTCGCTGTCCAGGGGTGAGGCCGGGGACTGGCCCAGGCAGCAGGTCCTGATGGGGGGTTACGGTCCGGGCACTGCCCAGGAGAAGGCGTTGCTCTCCGTGCCCCCCGGGGCGGGGAGCTCTGCCGACGGAGCTCCCCTGGTGCGCAGCAACTCCATGCCCACCCTCCACAGTGTGCGAGCTGGCCACGCAGCAGGGACTGAGGGGCAGCCACTCCTTCGACGAGCGCATGGCGGGCTCCGATGACGTCTTCCACCCCAACGCGGCCACCCTCTCCCACCCCCGCATGCTAAAGCGGCAGACGGCCATCGAGCTCTTCCCGGCTTTGGACGCCCACCCGCTCCCGGGGAGGAAGGGGAGCCCGGCGAGAGTGTGCTGAGGGTGGGCCGAGTGGGCCTGGGGGGTGAGCTGGCCGAGGAGACCCCTGAGGCAGAGCTCGGAGCAATGGCCAGGAAGGTGCAGCGTCACAAAGGGAGCCCCTTTGAGTGCGAGGTGTGTGGGGTCAAGTACAGGAAGTGGGAACAACTTTGAGACGCACCGGACCTTCTACTGCCCTCAGCTGCATGGAGCCAGGCCGGGCCTGCACCGGGCGGGGGGCACGGAGGCAACTGCGATCCCCAGGCCCCAGCCCAGGCTAGGCCAGCCCCCCGAGACCCTGCCCCTGAGGAAGAGGAGGAAAGAGAAGAGCGTGGGGGATGATGAAGATCCACCGGGGGAGTACGTGAGCCTCGCTGGACACGGCGGGGAGGACCCAGACCGGGGGCGGCGTCAGGATCAGCTCCGGCTCCACCAGTCCCTTCGTGGGGGAGGGCTACAAGACCCCGGCCCACCCCACAGGCCATGGAGTAACCAGAGCGGCGGGGGAGGAGCAGCCACTGTGTCGAGGTGCCCTGGACGAGGTCTACGGCCTAGCGGACGGCCAGTCCCACTCGTCCCAGGGCAACAAGCACCAAGAGGCCGTTGGCCGCCACAGGCCGGGCAACGAGATCTCCGTCATCCAGCACACCAACTCGCTGAGCCGGCCCAGCTCCTTCGAGCGCTCGGAGTCAGGGGAGGGCCCGGGGTCAGGCCGCTGTGCACCCCCGAGCCCGAGGCACCCACCAGCTGCGGGGAGGCTGAGCCAGGCGAGGCTCAGGCCCAAGCTGATACGTCAACACAACATCCTGGTGCCGGAGATCCGAGTGACCGAGGACCAGAGAAAGACCCAGAGGCACCCGTGAAGGAGCCCGAGAAGATGGCGGAGGAGTTTCAGTGGCCCCAGCGCAGCGAGACCCTCTCCCAACTGCCCACTGAGAAAGCTCCCGCCCAAGAAGAAGAGGCTAACGGCTGGCGGACATGGAGCATTCGTCCGGGGAATCCCAGCTTCGAGTCGGTCTCCCCTGTCCCGCAGCGCCAGCCAGGAGAGCACCCTGTCCCACACCTCCAGCCTGTCAGCCTCGCTGGATCGGGATGAAGCCCCCAGGTACTCCGGGGGCCGCCCGAGTTCCTCACCGTCCCTACGGGGCCTCTGGTCTCCTGGGGCCCAGGGCCACCAGCAGAAGGAGATGAGACGCTCCTCCTCTGAGCAGGCTCCCTGTCAGCCCTACCGGAGATGGCGGAGAACAGGAGCAAGTCTTTTGACTACGGGAACCTGTCAGGGGCCTCAGGGCTGGCTGCGGGTGTCCCCGGGGTCTCGCTGGCTCGGGAGAGGAGGAAGTGTTTCTGGTCCGCCAGGCCTCACTCAGCCAATATTCCGAGCCCTTGACAGCCGATCCCCAGGCCGGAGCCGGCTGAGCCCCGTGTCTACCGCCCGCCCTCACCTGCCTGCGTCCTCCCCGTCCTCGACCGGCACCACCAGCCCCCCTGGCATCCCCCGCCCCCGCCAGCCGACACACAGCTATCGTGGCAGTACTTCCGCCCGCCAGGCCCGAGCTCCCCGCACCATCACCACCCCCCAGAGCAGCCCACCCATCCTCGATCCCTCCCGTCACTGCCCCACGACCACACCGAGCAGCCCATCATTGACCCCTGGGGGCCCCACCCTGACCCCCGGGGCAGACAGGAGACCCCACGGTCAGTGGGAGCGGGAGTGTCCGCGTCACCTGCCCCTTTCCCCTCAACACTCGCCCAAGAACAGGCCCGTCCTCTCCCCCGACCCCCCTCCCCGGATGGTGTGCCAGCCCCCAGGGCTACTGGTGCCGGTCAGGATCCAGGCCAACGTGCCCTCGTATGGGAGCGTCATGTACACCAGCGTCTCCTCACACGTCCTGGGCGCCGGCCGCCTCCAGCTCTAACGCTATCCTCATGTGCAAGGTGGAGGAGGAGGGGCAGCGAAGGGAGCCAGAGGCATCAGCCTGGAGCTGGCACGTGCCTTGGCCGAGCGGCAGAGAGGACTGGGCCAGTGCCCTCTTTGGAAGTTTTCGTCAGGCCTGGGTGGCAGTTTTGAGAGCGGGGGTGTGGGCATGGGTGGGTCGGACGGTCCTGGAGCCATGGGTGGCAGTAAGCGGGTGCTCTCGCCCGCCAGCAGCCTGGAGCTCTCACCGAGACCAACCAACAGAAGCGCGTCAAGGAGGAGAAGATCTGCGGGCAGATGCTAGAGAAACTGAGTCTCCGTGAGACCAGCCCGGCCCCCAAGCCCAACAAACCCCAGCTGCGGAGGCAGCACTGCACCACGGAGCTCAGGGAAGGCCTCTCGTCCCCTTCCTCGCCCTCGCCCTCCACCTCCTCCTCTTCCTCCTCCTCCCCACCCTACTCCAGGATTTCAAGCCCATGGTCCGTTTGGGGGAAGCAGAGGCCATGGATTCCTCGGGCAGCCTGGACACGGAGAGCCCACAGCAGGGAGAGGCCTGCTCGGAAGCCAACCACACTCCCAAGTTCCCCATCAGCATGCTGCTCCAGGTGCCGGCCAGCCAGAGCGGGGCTGCGGGCGGGGGAACCATTCTCCTCACGGACGTGTCTGACCTCCAGGCCTTCCTTCAGTTCCCCAGCCTGCGCACATCCACCGGGGTGAGCTGGTGCTTCCTGAACTACACCAAACCCAACCACACCCGACAGACAGCGCCCAAATCCTCGCTCTACGCTTCCTGGTGCATCAGCGCCTACAACCCCAACCCCCCCGGCACAGCCACCAAACTGGCCCTGGCCCTGCTCAGGTCCAAACAGAAGAGCAGCCGAGAGACTTACATCATGTCCACCATCAACTGGCCCTACTGCGGCAAGCTGGTGTCCTCCAGCGCTTGGAAACAGAGGCTGGCGCAGGTACAACAACTCGGGTTTATGTAGCAGCTTACACGAGGGGCAGTGTCTCGGGGGACCTAATAATATAATAATCCTTGCATTTGATATTGCGCCTTATCAAATCTTCGAGATGTGTCAAAGCGCTTCACAGAATACACTGTAAATTGACTGTATATTTTGTGGCCGAGACTTGACTCCGATTCGGGTGTGGGAGAGGTGACCGTAGGCACGGTCGAAGAGGAACACTCAGTGCAGAGGCAGAGGGATGAGAGGAGAGAGGAGATATCTGAGTGGAAGGAGCCAGGTGGTTTGGGGCCCGGTGGACTAGGAGGATTTTGAAGTACAGGGTAGGGTGAGGTGCTCAAAGGAGGATAAACCAGGAGAATAGGGGATAAACCAAGAGAGGTTTGGGAAATGGGAGCCACCCCCACCTTCACGTAGGTAAGAGCCCGACAGCACCTTAACAGTTTTTTCTTGGTTGTTGTTTAAGACAAGGATTAGGAACATTTAGAAGGGAATTTGTATTTATTAATAATAATACGTACATTTGGTCTTGTGCCATCCACGTCAGGAGGGCGCCCCAAAGCGTTTGGCAGGACACAATGTAAAGTGTAGTGACTGCGTGTTTCATGGGCAAACTCAACAACAACAACGACAAAATGACATTTGTAAAGCCGCCTTTCACATCGGGAGGACGTCCCAAGCCGCTGGACAGACAGTTTCGGATCCGAGCTGGGGTTCGGGATCGCGGAGGGTGGAGGGCAGGAGGTGAAACAGGGAGATCGAAAGCACGGTCGAAGAGGAGGGTTTTGAAGGAGGCAAGGGAGGGGGCGAGGCGGAGGGATTGCGGGATGGAGTTCCAGAGGGTAGGGGCAGAGTGGCAGAAGACCCGCCCGCCAGTCGTGGTTCGAGCGGGGTGGTGGACGTGTAGCAGGCCGGAGCCCGCTGAGCAGAGGGAGCGAGCAGGATGGTAGGGGGTTAGGAGGTGGCGAAGGTAGGAGGGAGCAAGACCATGGAGGGCTTTGAAGGTGAGGACCAGGATGTTGAACTGTATCCTCTGTGTGATGGGAAGCCAGTGGAGTCGGGCGAGGATGGGGGTGATAAGAGTCACAGAGCCTGGTGCGGGAGAGGACCTGGGCTGCAGAGTTCTGGATGATCTGCAGCCTGTGGAGGGAGGAGTTAGGGAGGCCGACAAGCAGGGAGTTTGCACAGTCAAACCTCGATGTAATGAAAGCGTGTATGCAAGTTTCGGTGGCCTGTCGTGTGAGACAGTGGCGGAGCCGGGCGATGTTACGGAGGTGGGGGAAGGCAGAGCGGGTCATGGCGCAGATGTGGGATAGAAAACTCAGCAGCTACTTTGTACACAGCAACGTCCTGGAAACAGTCGTGGATTGAATTACAATTTTATTGTATATGCATTTGAAGAACGTGCAGTAGTTGGAGACCATTGTAACACTGTGGTTTTAGGCGCTTGACATCAGACACCCACATCCCCCATTAAATGGCCACCGCTGACATCTCTTCCTGTCACCTTCCTTCGCGCAAGTCTACTGCAATATAACCAAAGCCATCTTCCCCCGGGGTGGGAGAGAGGGACTGTAAAGGGGCAGGTGAAGGGCCCTTGAAAGTGTCTCGATGGGGGAAAAGAGCAGGGGAATGAGGATTAGAATAGAGAGATTCAGTGGGGAGTGAGCACCAGCATAGGCACGATGGGAGTAAGAGCAAAGAAAGAAGGGACGAGGATTAAAGTAAAGGTTAAATCAACTCGAGATATAAAATCGCTTCTCGTTGCGTTAGATCAAATGGTACGAGTCGTCGCAGCAGGAATGTGAAGGCGCTGGGAGAAACTCTTCAGGAAGCTTTGAAAAGGAGCGGGAGAAGATGGAAACGTGTGGAAATAAAGATCTCACTGCCAAGCAACCTGAGCCAACGCGAATCAAAATTTTTGACGGAGGGTAAGCACTGACCAGTTTTTTGAGGAAGGGGCTTATTTTCGCATGTTCTTAGGGTTCATTCCATTGTCCATTCCATTTTGAAGACAATATGGTGGAAATTTGGTGAATTCGGTTTTGTGAAATCCCTCCTGTTGTGGGGACAGGTTAAAAAAAAGTATTAGACGGGTACGTGCAGAGGGCAGGTACCTCAACTCCTGATAACTCGTCACTCCGAGAGAAAGGGCTCAGTGATAAGTTATCAGGAGTGGCGAGTTAGGCATAGGTACAAATACATAAATAAATGCAGCCGGGATACTGACAGCACAGCAGGATGACTTAAGTGGTAGTCAAGTCAGGGTTGAGTTATCAGGAATTTATAATAATAATAATCCTTGCATTTGATGTAGCGCCTTAGCATGTCGTTGAGACATCTCAAAGCACTTCACAGGATATACTGCAAAGTGAATTGACTGAGTATTTGATGGGGCGAATTCACTGCATTGGAGGGAACAACGTTAACTTGCATTTACATATCACCCTCCACATGGGATAATATCTCAGAGTGCTTCACAAAGAGGCAGTCGCAACTTGAGTGAGGTGAGGTAGGAAGAAAGAGGGAGTAACTGTAGGCAAGTTTGAAGAGCTAGGATTTTAGGCAGGATTTAAAGACGGATAGAGAAGGGGCCAGGCGGAGAGTTAGAGGGAGGGAATTCCAGAGGTTTGGGACGAGAGGGCTGGGGTGGAAGGAATGAGCAGCGGATTAGGTAGGGGAACAGCAAAGAGAGGGAGGATGCTGGAAAGTGAAGGGATTTATGGATGAGTTTGAAATCAATGTCTAAGGGAGACGGGACCTGGTGAGGACTAGGTTTCTCAATCTCTCACTCGCCTACGAATCCCTTCACAACACCACCACCAACATAATTATATGTGTTTAGCGCCTTTCACGTCGGGAGGACATCCCAAGGTGTTGGACAGTCACTATTTCAGACCCGGTCGGGTGGGGTGTGTGGAGTGTGGGGGACGATGCAGGGTGATCGAAAACATGGTCGAAGAGGAGGGTCTTGAAGGAGGCAAGGGAGGGGGAGAGACAGAGGGACTGCGGGATGGAGTTCCAGAGGATGGGGGCAGAGTGGCAGAAAGCCCGCCCGCCAATGTTGGTGCGGGCGAGGTGGGGTACGTGAAGCAGGCCGGAGCCCGCTGAGCGGAGGGAGCGGGCACCCTGGTACACCCTGGCATCTCCCTACCTTTCTGACCTGCTTTCTCCCCACTCCACTCTCCGTTGCCTCCGCTTGGCTGCTCTGGCTTCCTGGTTGTCCCTCATCCCCACTGTTCCACAATCGGCGGTTGCGCTTTCAGTCACAACTCCCCGAAACTCTGAAACTCTCTCCCCTAATCCCTCTGCCTTGCCCCCTCCTTCCCTTCTTAGATCACAACTGTAAACCTTCCTCTGCGACCATGATTACGGTCACCTCCTCCTCAGACTTTAGTGACGGTGAGGATGTGGGCGACTGCGTTTTGGATCAGCTACAGTTTATGGATTTTATGTGGAACCAGGGAGAATGATGAGAAGAGTGTTTGAAAGAGGAAATAGCAAGGAATTGGGATTAGGGCAGATAGCTTTGAGGAGAAACAAAAAATGAGTCAAAATAACAGGCTAAGTGGCCTCCCACTGGGTTGGGGTTTTTATGTTCCTTTCACTTAACTATGAGACAAGGCAAACAGGATGTTGGCTATGTTACCAAATCGGTTGAGTTCAGATCCACAAACAACATATTCAACAACATATTCAACAACAATAACAACAACATCTTGCATTTATATGGTGACCTTCATGCTGAATGGTGTCTTGGAGCGCTTTACAGTGGCGGAGCCCAATGCCAGGGCAGGGGGAGGGGGAAGCTGACAGTAGGCACGGTCGAAGAGGAAGATCTTCAAGCGCAACCTGAAAATGGGGAGTTAGGGGGAGCAAGGCGAAGGGGACCGAAGGAGAGAATTCTACAGCTTCGGGGCGTAGTGGCTGAAAGCACGGCTGCCGATGGTGGGGCGGAGTGTCCGGGGGATAAGGAGGAGGCCAGAGACAGTCGAGCAGAGGCAGTGGGTACTGGTGTGAGGAGACAGGAGGTTGGAGAAGTAGGGAGGGGATTCAAATACAAGAGTGAGGATCTTGAAATCGATCCGCTCTGTGACAGGGAGCCAATGGAGTTTGACAAGGACTGGGGTAATGGAGGTATGGAGTTTAGTGTGGGTGAGAATGCAGGCGGCGTAGGTTTGAGTTATTCAGGCTGTACAGGCTGAATCTCGTTACTGCATACAGATCTGGTCACCACACCATAAGGGCCCGAGAGACAGCGTAGAGGAGAGCAACAAGAATAATCCCCAGTGTTAGGAGGAATGAGCTGTGAGCAACGATCAGACAAGCTAGAACTCAATACTTTAGGATGCACCGAGACAGTAGAACAAGAGGACGCAGGTGTCCTCTCCACCTCTCAAAGCCAGTCAGGAACCTCGGCGTTCTGTTCAACCCTGAGCTGTCCTTTCTTCCCCACATCCGCGTGACAACTGGCACCGCCTTCCATCACCTCCGGAATATCGCCAGACTACGGCACTACCTCACCTATCACACGGCTGAAACTCTGGTCCACGCCTTTATTACCTCGAGGCTGGACTATGGGAACTCTCTCCTCGCCGGCCTTCCTGGCCCTCCCTCCACACTGCAGGTCATTCAGAACTCTGCAGCTCGTGTACTGTCCCGCACCAGGCTTCGGACCACATCACTCCCACCCTCGCTCGCCTCTACTGGCTCCCCATCCCCCAGAGGATCGAATTCAAGATCCTCATCCTCACCTACAAGGCCATTCATGGCCTCGCTCCCTCCTACCTCTCTGACCTACTCCCCTACTACCTGCCCGTACCCTCCGTTCCTCTGGCTCAGGTCTGCTCCACATCCCCCGCCCCAACGCCCCTACCATCGGTGGCCGGGCCTTCAGCCTCTCAGCCCCGAGGCTCTGGAACTCCATCCCCCAGTGCCTTCGCCGCTTCCTCCCTTTCCTCCTTCAAGGCCGGTCTCAAGACCTTTCTCTTCGACCGAGCCTTCAGCTCCCCTCTCGACTCTCTACCCCTCCTCGCTCCCTCCCTTCCCTCCCCTCACCCTGACCATTTTCACCACTGCTCGGGTCCCGACCCAACTGTCCAGCGCCTTGGGACGTCCTCCTGACGTGAAAGGCGCTCTATAAATGAAATCTTGTTGTTGTTGTTGTTATTGTAGAGGTGTAAAGAGACAATTTCAGGACAGACACCAGGAAGTGTTTATTTACAGAGGGTAATTAATGACTGGAACAGGATTCCCAGGAAGGGTAATTGAGGCCAGGACACTGGGACTCATTTCAAAATCAGTTTGATGCTGTGATGGGGGGATGGTGGGGTGCATGTTCTGGAGGGAGGAGATCAGATGTGTTGAACGGGCTTCATCATCCAAACCGATCTTGTGATCATCTGAAGGCAACTGATTGTCCTGATGTTGAAGATTGTGCAAAATTTTGGAGGAAACACTCGGACGTTCAGTTTTAAATTGGATGACAATTTTCCACAGCCCTTGTCGTAAATTAAAATATTCTTTGCAATGTTACTATTTGAGGCAATGGACATTAGGCCTAAGATGGTGAGGAATTGTGGGCGCCTGTGCTCCTGAGACAACCAAACATGAGTCCCTTCCTGCACCAGTCTCCTGATTTGGATTCAGTGGGGTCTAAACGTGGGGGGATAGGAATTGAAATGTTATTAATATGAATTTCAATGTGGGCCCAAACCCACACCCTTCTGATTGTGACTGTGTGAATTTCCTTCACACCACAAACTCTCTCACCCCTGCAGGTACAAGTCTACCGAGGACTATGTGTATGTGAGAGGACGCGGCAGAGGTAAATACATCTGCGAGGAGTGTGGCATCCGCTGTAAGAAGCCCAGTATGCTGAAGAAACATATCCGAACTCACACCGACCTTCGGCCTTTCATGTGCAAGTTCTGCAATTTTGCCTTCAAAACGAAAGGTCAGTCAGCCTCTGGTGCCTGTTCCTTCCCAGGGCCATGACAGTGGCCGGGATAACATTACCGGGGGTTAGAGAATGGGTTAGAGACGATATCTCCTTTCATTACCTCCTGTTATGTCAAGACATCTTACAGCACTTCAGTAATAAATGCTGTCAAGCGTAGTGACTGTGTATTTGGCTGCACGTTTGCCCCTCGTTTCTGTGCTGGTGCTCTCTCTCTCGCTCTGTCTTTCCCCCATTCCCCAATATCCCACCAGAACCCTCTACTCCCTCACCAGTGAGCTACTTACCTCCCTCCTCCTTCCCACTTAATATTGAGATAAATGTTGCATTATTTTTTTATGAAGAATTCCGGGTTGGAAGGGGTGTGTGGCACGGGCTTCCTTCCGGATCCTTCCTTCCACACACATCGAGGCAACCTCCGCCCCCGAAATAGTCGGAGTGGCGTTCCTGGGACGACAACAACGTGATTTATATTGAGGCCTCACATGCGGGGCAGCTTAGAGAGTGATTGAGGTCAGGACGCTGGGACTGATTTAAAAACCAGTTGGCTGCTGTGTTGGGGGGATGGTAGTGTAAGGATCTGGAGGCATGAGATCAGATGTCACGGGAATCACAGATTTGAAAGATTATCGCAAAATCAACCTTTATTTGTCCAACTCTCTCCCTGGGTGCCGCTAAGGCCTCGAATCCAGCTAACATTTGGGGTGAAGCTTTGCCGTCCCCCCCCGTACTGAACACAATCACTGTACTTCTCAATACAATGTGCAGGTGAGAGCGAGGACCTTGAAGGGAAGAATTAACATGAATTCTTCCACATGTTTCAGTTGGGGGTCAGTGCACTGTGGAGAAAAAAAACATTGGGGTAACAGGACTTCGTGGACACCCTGTATATCACCGGGCTCACGTGAGGCATTTCCCATCCAAGCCAGTGCGTCCAAATTGCGACCCATGGGCAGATATCACCCCCAAATAGGGCATTTCTGGCCCTCAGCAGCCAAAAGGTTTCATCTCCCTGATCTGGGCTATCAGAGGAAATGTGTAGAGATTTGCATCAGTACATTGGCTCAAACATTTTATCTTTTTGTATCTGTTTTGCTTGATGTGATCGCATTTCTTGCTAATTCCTCCCCCTCTCGCTCTGTCTCTCTGTCTCTCTCACTCTCGCTCTTGCTCATTCCCTCCAGGAAACTTGACGAAACATATGAAATCCAAGGCGCACACCAAGAAATGCCTGGAACTGGGAATCGCTTTGACGTGTACGGATAGCACAGAGATAGAAGAAGCAGGTACGGTTAACACAAGGGAGGGGGAGAATGCGCTGTGTGATGTGCTAGTCATCACGTAGACAGAAAATATAGTTAAAACCCTGTCCTTATCCTTGTCTTTCGGATGAGACGTTTAACCGAGACCCGTCTGCCTGTCCAGGTGGACGTTAAAGGTCGTGTGGCCCTACTCGAAAAGAGAAGGGAATTTCTCTGCTTCTCCCGGTGTCCTGGCCGATAATCCCCCAAATAAATAAAATCGGTTACTCTCTCCAGGGCTGTTTGTGGGACATTGCTGTGCTCAGGAGACTCATAAAATACACAGACATTTTACAGTGTATCCTGTGAGACATCTGAATGATATGATAAGGCCCTACATCAAATGCAAGTACTATTATTATCTACTCCTCAGTTCCCTCCAGACAGTTCTTCTTCAATGCCTTCCTCGCCAAACCTCCTCAGCTCCACCATCCACAAGCTCCAGTTCACCCAATAACCGCTCTCTTGCGTCCTCGCCCATCACCCTCTCCTCACCAGGCTTCACTGACTCCCTGTCACCCTTCAAGGTCCTCGCTCTCAACTACACATTCTTCACCCCTTCACTCCTTATTGCCATTACCACTACCACCAGTTCTTCAGCCTCATTATTCTGTTCATCCCCTCCACTCATCGAGCTCGGGCTAGCTGCTCATACCCCATTCTCTCCACCCAGCTAAGCAGGATCTCCTTGGAGTTGAACTATGGCTCCAAGGTAATGTGCTTGGCAACTGAATGTTGAAACTGATTCCACCCTCTGTCGTGGTCCCCTGTCAGGTTCCTGAGCCAGACAGGTGTGTAGTATTCCTGAGCAGTACTGATGACAGCACAGCCTAGCCTGGCTCATCGGCAGGACCTGGAAGGGACAGGAATCGTCCCAGTAATTCCACAGGTCATTCGACCTTTTAGAAGCTAGAAACAGAAGCCATCGTGTCTGTACCGGCTCTTTTAAAGAGCAATCCTTTCACTGTCCTTTCCACACACCCCAGTACTTTACTCCTATTTAGATATCTATCTAGTTCTTTTTTGAAAGCTAATCTGGATTCTGCCTCAACCACAGCTCCTGGCAGGACATTCCATACCCTAACCACTTTCAAAATCTTAAATTGATGCCCTCTAGTCACTGACTCACCAACCAGTGGAAATAATTCCTCCGTGTGGACTCTTATCAAAACCTCTCATCATTTTAAAGGTCGTGATCAGGTCACCCTCAATCTTCTTTGTTCCAATGGAAAAAGTCTCAGTTCCTCCAATCACCGCTCATAGGCCAAACCACTCATCCCCGGGATCATCCAAGTAAATCTCCTCTGCATCCCCTCAATGGTCTTGACGTCCTTTGTAACCAAAACTTGCGGTGCCACAAATTAGACCCTAGCATATTATTAGCCATGTCAGGAGTCTTGTAGCATAGTGGTTTGCATGCTTGCCTCGCAAGCGAGAGGACCTGGGTTCGATTCCTGGGCAGGGGCGAAACCTTATGCAAGTTTCCTTACTCTACGCGCCTCTGTTTACATAGCAGTAAGTAGGAACCTGGTTATTAGTCGATTGGTGGACTGCTTTCCAGGGGTAATTTGTTTTTATAACCTTGCATTTGATAAAGCGCCTTATCAGGTCTTCGAGATGTCTGAATATATTGTGAAGTGAATTGACTGCACATTGTGTGGACAAAACGGTTTCTGACAGTGCAGTTACCAAGTGGTCTGGTCTACTTGGATGTTCCTTGACACCAGGCTCTCACCAGCCTGCGTCTGACACGCTTTCTATCCCCTCCTCAGGAATGGCGGATGACACCAACAAAGAAGCCTTGGCTGAGCTTCCGGTGGA